GAGTCGGGCTGTGCTGTGTTCTGCTGTATGGAGGGTCTCTGTGAGTCGGGCTGTGCTGTGTTCTGCTGTATGGAGGGTCTCTGTGAGTCGGACAGTGTTTTGCTCTGGTGTAGGAAGGGTCTCTGACTTGAAACTGCCTCAGTGATGCCTGACAGCAACAAAAAACTGTTAGTTCAAATAGAACATCTCTGTACATAACAAATCATAAAGATGTAAAAAGTATACAAACTAGGGGAAAGACACATATATACTACAATGGAAGGACTAAAATTTAAAAATAGCTAGAATCTTCTACAAACCGATATCAAAAAGATTTATACCCGAATGATTTTAATGGGCAAAAGAAAGAAATAGGAAATTGCCCTGGAACAATAAACCAACTGCGTGCCTATAGCGCAGCACCTGGAGCAGTACCATGGAAGACTGGCATCTGAGCACGGTACCAGCACTGCACAAGGGAGCACAGGTATCAGCACCAAAGGGTCAAGATGTTTCATCCATTAGGAAGGCACCGAGGCTGACAAGAAAACCACCAAGAATGCACCAGATGCATTCTCAAGAGAGGTGGTCCAAACGGCCCCAACATGCTGAACATTCAACCCCCAAACAAAAATCCTAAGACACTTTCAGCCCACACAATGACAAAGGGTTGTTTTTCCAATCTCGAAATAAACACACAGTGCTAATGGGGGTGTGATCAAACAGCTGTGTATGTGTGTGTGTGTGTGTAAGCAAACCCCTCCTTCTGTGGGAACAAATGAGGGAGGACATTCTAGAATATTCCAGATGCTCCCACAGCCTCTGGCATCATCACTGGCTCCTGGAATCCAGTCCAGGACTTACTTTAAACTCCTACAGTTCCTTGAGCAGAGCTGCCCACCACAGATGATGTATCTAAGCACAGAATCAAGACAAATTGGCCAGGGACATGTTTAAGAAAAAATCTGTTTTTCCGCTTAATGGAAAGTTATCAGCTGTTGAGAAATGCGTACAGAGATGCTGTAAATACTGAAAACTATTTATGCTGGATTTGAAACTAAAAAGCAGGGTACAAAGGTACATGCCCCAAGTGCTCACAAAGAAGTCCAAAATCATAATAAAAGACTCCAAAGAAATCCAGTTTCCCCCACTACCAAGACTTCAGGCAAGATGGCGGACTAATCAGATGCACTGCACAGTCCCTCTACAACAAAGATATGAGAGATCAAATGAAAATTCTGGAACCCTGAACTTCAAAAGAAAGGTTAGAGAAAGAGATAGAATGCTTGTTGGGAGGAGAAGGCAAGCAGAGACGATAAGAGAGGGAGAGAGACTGCCATTCTGAACCTCTGTGAGCTGCTATGCCATCAGAAAGAGACCTAACAGAGCATAGTCACACAGGCAGTGGGAAAGGTCCCCTGGTGACCAGAGGTGTGGCCAGCTCCCACCCTCCTCTACCCCCCACTACAGCCCCTGCTCTCTGGAGTTTGGAGCCATGTGGTTGTGAGTCACAGCAGGGGCTGGCTGTGCCACTCTGGTGCAAGGTTTTGGTGGTCAGATTCAGGTCGAGCCAGCTTAGGACCTACAAAATCCACAGAGCCACCAGACCAGCATTGAGCCAGTCACCCTGCTCCCAGGTGCCCTGTGGCCTTAACACTGAAACCACCTCTATGAAGGACCCCCACGAACCACTTCCAGAGTGCCCTGAACAGAGACAACACGGAGACAGACATGAACTCCATCTGGGGCCCCTTCCGCACCCACCTCAGGAGATCCTCGGCTGGCAGGAGCCCCCAGAGGTTTCTCCACTCAGGGTCTAGCAGCTGCACTGTTTTTGTTTTGGGGTTT